GTTCAGGCAATTCTCATGCTTCAGCCTCCCAAATCACTGGGATTACAGGTGTGCGCCACCACGCCTGGCTAATATTTTTTTTTTGAGACAGAGTTTTGCTCTGTCGCCCACGCTAGAGTGCGGTGGCGCAATCTCTGCTCACTGCAAGTTCTGCCTCCTGGGTTCACGCCATTGTCCTGCCTCAACCTCCCAAGTAGCTGGGACTACAGGCGCCCACCACTGCACCCGCCTAATTTTTTGTATTTTTAGTAGAGACAGGGTTTCACCATGTCAGCTAGGATGGTCTCGATCTCCTGACCTCATGATCCTCCCGCCTCGGCCTCCCAAAATCCCAAAGTGCTGGGCTTACAGGCGTGAGCCACCGCGCCCGGCCTGTATTCTTCTGAAATTATTCTTTAACTTTTGGAGATGGAGTCTCGTTCTGTTGCCCAGACTGGAGTGCAGTGGTGCGATCTTGGCTCACCACAACCTCCACCTCCCAGGTTTAAGCAGTTCTACCTCAGCCTCCCGAGTAGCTGGGATTACAGGCACCCGCCACCACACCCTGCTAATTTTTGTACTTTTAGTGAATTTAGTGTATTTAGTGAGCCATTTCACCATTTTGGCCAGGCTGGTCTCGAACTCCTGACGTCAGGTGATCTGCCCACCTCACCCTCCCAAAGTACTGGGATTACAGGCGTGAACTGCCACGCCTGGACTAATTTTTGTATTTTTTGTAGAGTCGGAGTTTCACTGTATTGACTAGGCTGGTTTCGAGCTCCTAACCTCAAGTGATCCACCTGCCTCAACCTCCCAAAGTGCTGGGATTATGGCCATGAGCCACTGCACCCAGCCCCCTGCACCTTCTTGCTTGTATGCAAGATCTTGACTACACTTTGCATGGGCCATTTCTTGGTTGGTTGTAGTAAGCAACATTGAGGGACAAAGACCAAGCTCTTTATAAATGTGGTTGATTTGCCAAACTCAGTGCAAGGGCAGCATCCACCTAGGCCCCCTCCATGTCAAGCCCCAGAGGTCTTGGGGCTGTACAGAACCAGTGCTAACATCATGCTTATGCTGCTTGCTGTGCCATGAGTAGTAAAGTCTTTTTGTCTCATTTCTTTTGCCAGCATACATGAAACAGTATCCAGGCTAGCTCATAACTTGCAGAGATGATAAAATCTCAGACTCTTGAAAGACTCTGACATATAGCCAGCACAGTAAAATATGAGTAAGAAATACAGGTAACAGGACTAAAGGGCAAGATAGAAAATTGGTATTATTTGTGAGCAGTAACTGTCCATATAAAAAAAATCCCAACAGATACGCTACAAAGTAAGAATTAAGGTTACTAGAAATAAAGTTGCTAGATAAAAGACTAAAACAAGATAGAATTGTAAGTGCAACAAAGACTTAAAAAGGCTTTAAAAAATATAATTTAAAATAGTAACAAGCACTTGGCCTGTTTATTTCTTTGTATGTTTAAATACTTCATTAAAACCACCAATATAGTCTTTTTAAGAATATCAAAGCTGGTTTGGTGCGGTGGCTCACGTCTGTAATCCCAGCACTTTGAGAACCCAAGGCAGGCAGATCACAAGGTTGGGAGTTCGAGACCAGCCTGGCCAATATGGTGAAAACCTGTCTCTACTGAAAATACAAAAATTAGCCAGGTGTGGTGGCGGATGCCTGTAGTCCCAGCTACTCGGGAGGCTGAGGCAGGAGAATCACTTGAACCTTGGAGACAGAGGTTGCAGTGAGCTGAGATTGCACCATTGCACTCCAGCCTGGGTGACAGAGCGAGACTGTCTCAAAAAAAGCAACTATATCTATATCTGTATCTCAAAGCTGGGCACAGTGGTGAACAGTCTCAGCTACTCAGGAGGCTGAGGCAGGAGCTTCATTTGAGGCCAGGAGTTCGAGTCTGGCCTGGGCAACATAGATCCTGTCTCTAAGGGGGAAAAAGATCCCCCCATTCTTTATTTTACCCAGATTTCAGTGGGGGAAATTTATTTTTTTAAGGAAATTAAAAAAAAAAACAAGCTGTGGAAAAATATTTGCAGTATAAATGGCATCTGCTCAGTTCTGGGGCATAATACAAAAAAAGTTAAAAATACTAAGGTGCTGGAATAAATCTATTGAAATACATGCAAGACTAAAAAAACCTGTAAAGACTTTAAAGATGACAAATATAAGTACAGATATACATGTGCATTTCTCTCCCTACTGAGATAAATAAGTAAGCATATATGTATGTGTATGTTTTCTAACCCAGTAATAAATAATTGTCTGGGCCAGGTGCAGTGGCTCACGCCTATAATCTCAGCACTTTGGGAGGCCAAGGCAGGTGGATCACTTGAAGTCAGGAATTGAAGACCAGCCTGGCCAATATGGTCAAACCCTGTTTCTACTAAAATTATAAAAATTAACTGGACATGGTGGTGGGTGCCTGTAATCCCAGCTGCTCGTGAGGCTGAGGCAGGATAATCACTGGAACCCAGGAGGTGAAGGTTGCAGTGAGCCAGGATCGTGCAACTGCACTCCAGCCTGAGCAACAGAACGAGACTCCCATCTCAAAAGAAAAAAGAAAAAAAAAAAGAATTGTCTGTCTTCTCAACCCTTACTGTCATTATATTTTGGCCAATGGGCAAGAAGTGTCAACTTCATTCTAATCTTCCATTTTGATTACAAGAGAACCTGGCTGTGTTTCCATGTGATTTGTGGCTCTTCATGTTTTTGAGAACTGGCTTTTTGCTCATTTTTCCCCCATTGGGTTGTCCTTATTTATATTGATTTACAGAGCTCTATTTCTTTTTCTCTCTTTTTTTTTTTTTTTTTTTTTTTTTTTTTTTTTGAGACACAGTCTCACTCTGTCTCCCAGGCTGGAGTACAGTTGTGTGATCTCGGCTCACTGCAACTGCAACCTCTGCCTCCCGAGTTCAAACAATTATCCTGACTCAGTCTCCCAAGTAGCTGGGACTACAGGCGTGTGCCACCACACACGGCTAATTTTGTATTTTTTGTAGAGATGGCGTTTCCCTATATTGGCCAGGCTGGTCTCGAACTCCTGACCTCAGGTGATCTGCCCACCTCGGTACCCCAAAGTGCTGGGATTACAGGTGTGAACCACCATGCCTGGCCTTTTTCACCAAACATTTTTTGATAATTTTCATGCATTTTCTTTTTGGATTACTGAGACCACCTGTTAAAATTCTCTCCCCTCTCCCCTCTCGTCTCTCCCCTCCCCTCTCCTCTCTCCCCTCTCCTCTCCTCTTTCCCCTCCCCTCTCCTCTCCTCTTTCCCCTCCCCTCTCCTCTCCTCTTTCCCCTCCCCTCTCCTCTCTCCTCTCCTCCCTCCTCTCTCCTCTCCCTCCTCTCCCTCTTCTCTCCCTCCTCTCCCTCCTCTCTCCCCTCCCCTCTCCCCTCCTCTCTCCCCTCCCCTCTCCCCTCCCTCCCTCCCTCTCCCTATCCCCTCCCCTCTCCCTATCCCTCCCTGTCCCCCGTCCCTCCTCTCCTCCCCTCCCCCTCCCCTCCCCTCCCCCTCCCCTCCCTCCCCTCCCTCCCCCTCCCCCATCCCTCTCCTCCCCATCCTCTCCCCTCCCCCTCCCCCTCCCCCTCCCCCATCCCTCTCCCTCCCCCATCCCTCTCCCTCCCCCTCTCCCCTCTCCCTCCCCCTCCCCCTCCCTCTCCCTCCCATCCCCTCTCCTCCCTCCTCTCCCTCCTCTCCCCTATCCTCTCCCCTATCCCTCCCCTCTCCCCTCCTCTCCCCTCTCCCCTCCCCCATCCCCTCTCCCCTCCCCTCCCCTCCCTCCTCTCCCTCCTCTCCCCCTATCCCTCCCTCTCCCCTATCCCTCCTCTCCCTCCTCTCCCCTCTCCCTCTCTCCCCTCTTCTCTCCCCTCCTCTCTCCCCTCCTCTCTCCCCTCTTCTCTCCCCTCTTCTCTTCCCTCCTCTCTCCCCTCCTCTCTCCCCTCCTCTCTCCCCTCCCCTTCCCCCTCTCCCCTCCTCTCTCCCCTCCCCTTCCCCCTCCCCCCTCCTCTCTCCCCTCCCCTCCCCCCTCCTCTCTCCTCTCTCCTTTCCTCTCTCCCCTCTCCCCTCTGTCCTCTCTCTTCTCTCTTTTCTCTTCTCTTCATTTGCAATGGCGTGATCTCGGTTCACCGCAGCCTTCACCTCCTGGGTTCAAGCGATTCTCTTACCTCAGCCTCCCGAGTAGCTGGGATTACAAGCATGCGCCACCATGCCCGGCTAATTTTTTTGTATTTTTAGTAGAGACGGGGGTTTCTCCATGTTGGTCAGTCTGGTCTCGAACTCCCAACCTCAGATGATCCACTTGCCTCAGCCTCTGAAAGTGCTGGAGATTACAGGTGTGAGCCACCACGCCTGGCCCAAAATTAAATTCTTTAAAAAAACTGTTGGAAGTTTTGATTGTGGTTTTATCCAATTAGTAGATTAATATGTTTGGGGCTAGTGACTTTTATACATTGTTAGAACTTTTCTGTGTTTCTAATTTTTTGGAATAGTTATTGTACATTCTTTTATTTTGATCTTTTAAAAAAGCACTTGGTTTGGGGAAGAGGAATATGGAAATAAATTTAAGGGACTTAAAACTGAAGATTCATTTGACAGTTTTTCTCTGATGTAGAAGGAAACTTTGAGCTGTAGTGAAAATGTTTATATCAGGTAATGTATGATACAGACTTAACGTTTCACTATACAAGAAACATATCATATTTTAACTTGTTTTCCATACAATAGCACTTTACCTTTTATATTTTTTGGAAAAAAAGATGTTGAACTCTAAGAATGTATGCTTGTTTCCATTAGATAGAAGAAAATGGACCATTGGTGAATCCATTATACATAGAGTTACCCAATTATCAAATACCTTGAAAAACCTTGAAAATAACTGCAATATGTGTTTCTTAACCATTTAAAATTATTGGGAATAAGTTGGAGTATTACTAGTTTTTAAGTTATATTTAGGTTTCATAAATATTTGCCTGTATTTTTATAATTTGTTTCAGTCGTCATTGAATTTTGAGAAGCATTCTGAAAACTTTGCATGGACAGAGAATCGTTATGATGTGAATCGTCGACGACACAACTCTTCAGATGGCTTTGATTCTGCTATTGGACGTCCTAATGGAGGTAAAATTTGCTAAGGAATGATGTTATAGCTAATTTTCTTTATGATTTTTAAAGAATGTTTTGATGTGATTCGATTTTTAAGCCTAACTCTCTTCTTTTAATTTATATTACTTTACTATTATCAAATAAAGGTAACTTTGGAAGGAAAGAAAAAAATGGATGGCGTACACATGGAAGAAATGGTACAGAAAACATAAATCATCGAGGTGGATACCATGGTGGAAGTTCCCGTTCTCGTAGCAGTATTTTCCATTCTGGAAAAAGCCAAGGACTACATGAAAACAACATACCTGACAATGAAACCGGGAGGAAAGAGGACAAGAGAGAACGTAAACAGTTTGAAGCTGAGGATTTTGTAAGTTTTTTATAACTTTTATACAAATGAAGCTTCTATAAGTGCTACTTTAAGTGATTCTCCTGCCTCAGCCTTCCCAGTAGCTGGGATTACAGGCACCCACCACCAGGCCCGGCTAATTTTTATATTTTTGTAGAGACTGGGTTTCACCACGTTGGCCAGGCTGGTTTGAACTCTTGACCTCAGGTAATCCGCCTGCCTCAGCCTCTCAAAGTGCTGGGATTACAGGTGTGAGCCACTGCGCCCGGCCAAAAGACTGTATTTCTTAAATTACAGAAAAACTGACCTAGTGTACAGTCACATTTATCTAGTTCTTGTGATTCATTCTTGATAATTTAAAAGCTAGGTAGAAAATTTGTACTTTACTTTTTTATATATTCATTGTCAATTCTTATTCAGTATGTATGAGTCACTGAGTCAGCTGGTGTTCTTGGCACACACAATATGTACTGGATTGAGATAGGCAAAGCCCTTACTCTTACCAAGTTTGTGTTCTCTAAGCAAGTAATATTTTGTAGTGAATTTAGATAGGAAGTGACATTTAATTTGGGGCATACTTGATAAGGAGCGAACTTTTGTTAAGACTGAAGGAAGAGAGGGAGAGCTCATGCCAAGATGCGATCATCCTTGGTTTGTCTTATTTTTTTCATGTTCATGTGTATCAGGGTGGGGGTTGGTGGTGGTATTGAGACAGGGCCTCACTCTTTTGCCTAGACTGGAGTGCAGTTGCCCAATCATATCTCACTGCATCTTCAAACTTCTGGGCTCAGGCAGTCCTGTTTTGTCTCAGCCTCTTGAGTAGCTAGCTCTAGGTCTACAGTTGCACACCACCACACCCAGCTTACTATGTTGGCCTGGTTGGTCTTGAACTTCTGGCCTCAAGTAATCCTCCGACCTCAGCCTCCCGAAGGGCTGGGATTATAGGTGTAAAAAGTAAAGTAGAGGTTCTTCAAAGAGACTTTCTTCCTTGTCTCATTAAGAATAATTAGTAACTTCTCTTAGAAGCAGAATTTATTCAAACACTTGTGCTAACATTCTTAATTTATCTGCTAGCCGTAATAAATCAATGTACTTTATGTTCTTAGCTCCTACAATTTAGCCTAAATATTTGCCTTGGCATGCTTATACTAGTCCAAGCAGGTGTTAAGTCATAGCCTGTTCTTCCTTATTTGGAGGTGTTTTTACCTTTCTCAGCATTCCACAAGTTACTTCCTCCTTCCTTTGTTCTCCTCTGCCTTTGCCTCTTTTAAAAAGTTTAAAAAGTTTTAAAAAGTTTTAAGTTGCTAGCCAGTCAGGACAAATGCAGAATATGAAGTCCTGTTTCAGCCAGTAGAAACTGGACACAGCAGTAAAGCAGATGTGTCAAGTTATAAATGACTCTGTCTCCTTTGTTCGGTGTACTCTTGTGGCAAAACTGCTGGCGAGTGTACCCTTTCTGCAGAAAGTAAAAATTTCCTTGCTGAGGAAATTAAATTTATGTTCAAGTGCTATTTCTTTATGGCACCAAAGAACAAGCATTTCTAACATAGGCATGAGTCATCATACCCAGCCAATCTTGTTATGTTTAAGGAATAAAAGTTAGGCTAGTATGGGTAAAGAGTAGTTAGTATTAGACAAGGTTAGAGAGAGAGGAAAGGATTTAAATCAAATGGAATTTTTGCAGGTCAAGTACAGAATTTTGGTTTAATTACAAGGTTAATGAGAAGCTTGTTTAGAGTGGAGTCATGTGATGCGATGTTAGTTTTTACACTTCTTAGGTCTTGAACGGATTATAGCAAAAGAGAATAGTTCAGGAGAAAATGATGGCTTGAACTGGGTAGTTGAGATAAATGAAAATAGTTTTTGGATATGATATGGAAGTATTTTGAATGGAAGGTTTCAGTAAGAGGAAAACTTTGATAGATTGAATTTAGGGCAGGGAGTGGTGAGGGAAATAGAAAAATAAAAGATTACTCTTAGGTCCTGTTACCAAGTAACTTTGTAATTACTCTGTATTCTCATGTTGGTGATCTGTTTTTTCCACTTAATAATCGTAACATTGAAATTTTACAGTATAGTTGACCCTTGAATAACATAGAGGTTAGTAGTACTGATCCCCCCTTGATGTCAAATTTGCTTATAACTTTTGACTCCCCCAAAAACTTAACTACTAGTAGCCTACTGCTGACCAAACTCTTGATGATAATATAAACAGTTAACACATATTTTGTATATGTATTGTATACTGTATTCTTACAATAAGCTAGAGAAAAACTGCTACTAAAGTCATAAGGAAGAGGAAATATATTTACTATTGATTAAGTGGAAGTGGGTCATCATAAAGGTCTTGATTCTTGTCTTCATGTTGAGTTGGCTGAAGAGGAAGAGAAGGGGTTGGTCTTGCTGTCTCAGGTGGCACAGATGGAAGAAAATCTAGATATAAGTGGATTTGCATAGTTGAAACCTGTGTTGTTCAAGGATCAACTGTATAAACAAACTCTGGGAATGATAATAGTACTCTCATATCCCACCCCCATTCTCAAGATGTGGTTGTCATTGACTATGATAATCCTAGATTTGGCAGAGTATTATTTCTAATAGTATACTTTAAAGATGCTATGCACATGTAACCACCACCAGAATCTTAATTCTGCTTAGTTTGTATCTCTGAAGGAATCATGGTGATATGCATGCATATTTGCTTTACAGTAATCTCAGTACAATGTTAGTAATCATTTTTTAGGTGATTAAAATATTTATATTAAAATTCATTTTATTTAATATATATTAAGTACCTTCTTTAAATGAGGCAGTTTGTGTGCTAGCAATATGAAAAATACCTGAAAGAACACTGGAAATTTAGGATTTTAGAGGATAAATGCATCTACCAACATTAGCTTTAGAGTACTCATTCAATGCTTATCTCACTTTTGTTTTTAATAATCCTGAATATCACTTGTTGAAATATAGATTTGAACTTGGCTTTGATAGTGAGTGTGTTAACTAGTGATGACAACTTTAAGAACTGGAGGCTGGGTTCAGTGGCTTATGCCTGTTTTCCCAGCACTTTGGGAGGCTGAAGTGGGAGGTTCAAGTGAGGCCACGAATTTTGAGACCAACCTGGGCAACATAGCAAGACCCATTATTTACAGAGTTTTTATTAAAAAGTTAAAATTATTATTAGTCCAGATGTGATATCTCACTCCTGTAATCCCAGCACTTTGGGAGGCTGAGGCAGGTGGATCACTTGAGGCCAAGAGTTCGAGATCAGCCTGGCCAACATGGTGAAACTCCATCTCTACTAAAAATACAAAAATTAACTGGTCATGGTGCTGCTCACCTGGAATCCCAGCTACTTGGGAGACTGAGACAGGAGAATCACTTGAACCCTGGAGACGGAGGTTCCAGTGAGCTGAGATCGTACCACTTCACTCCAGCCTGGGTGATAAAGCAAGACTGTATCTCAAAAAACAAAACAACAACAACAAAAAAGATGAAATTATTTTTTAAAAAATTGGTCTGATTTTCCTCTTCTCTGATCTCAACCTTATGCTAAGGAGGGATTATTTCTTAGATTGATGCAAAGACATTCTCTTGAGTTTTTCTTTATTTGTTTTGTTTTGTTTTGTTTTAAATGAAAGCAAGTTTATTAAGAAAGTAAAGGAATAAGAGAATGACTACTCCATAGGCAGAGTAGCCTGGTTTTTAATCCTGATTTTTTTCTTAGTTATGGATAATGAAACTTAAACACACTCTTGTTTTCTCTGACCAGCAATTAGTATAGATAGTAACTATTTTAATGGCTAGCAGAGTAAGCTGAGAGTAAGGTTTATGAGTAATTCATCTTTAATACAAGCTCAATGTCCTTTATCTGAAATGCTTGGGACCAGAAGTGTTTTGGATTTTGGATTTTTTCAGATTTTACATTTAGTAGTTCAGCATCCTTTTTCTGAAAATCCAAAATCCAAGTGCTTCAATGAGTAGACAGAGCGTTACACTGGCACTCAAAAAGTTTCAGATTTTATAGCTTTTCAGATTAGGGTTATTCAACCTGTAGCTAAGAGTCGGTCATATTTGATTCATCAGTTACAACATGTATGATTCTGAGATTGCTTTCAAAGGATTTATTTTTAAAATGTGAAATGTTTATTCCAACTTTCTTCCAGCCATCTTTGAATCCTGAATATGAGAGAGAACCAAACCACAATAAATCTTTAGCTGCAGGTGTGTGGGGTAAGTAATTTTTTATCTATATTTGAGGGGCACAAAAATGTTGATATTTATAGGTTTCACTTTTTGTGTTTTTTAAAATAGAGAACAGGCTAGAATAAAACTTTCTTTTTAAAATATTTGTATTTGATGTACTTAGCTACAAAAAAGGTAACATTCATCTTTAAAAAGGAGTTTTGGAATAGAAGAGTTTGATTTGAAGTAGTTGATTTGCACATGCTAGTATCATTAAACATACTCAACTTGAATATGACTTAAATGATAATAGTGTAATGAATTGAAACAATTTTGAGAGCAGCTGGATAATGTAAAGAAACAAAAACTGAGTTTAATTTTTTGTTGTTCAAAGTTAACTGTGAAAGTACTTCTGGTCATAGTGTGACATGAAGTTAATATTTTTACCTATGAAAATGGTTATATATATATATACACACACATATATGTGTAGACTGTCACAGATAATTGTATAAATTTGCTTGTGGAGCTAGTCTATATTTGAAATTACTTGTCTCTGATTTCTGATTTTCAAAGCTTAATGAGGGTTCTTCTAGTAATAACCCAGCCCCCTTTTTTTTTTTAAAAGATTGCTGACAGTTCAATTTGATAGCATATTACAGAAGATTAAACTGAACTCATATAGTACAATTTAGACAGCTTTTTAAAGATTCAAGTGAAGTTTAAAATAATGGAAAATTTTATAATACTAAGATTTGACATCTGAAAAATAAATTTAATTATTTGATACTAAATTCAGAGGTGCTCAATCCATGTTGGAACTTAAACACATGTTCATTTGTATTTTTCTATTGAAAATCAACTCACTAAAACAAAAGGATTGTGGCTTATGACAGCATACTAGTCCTAACAGTAAAGGCATTATTTTAAACTTTGCCACTTCCTGTGCTGTATTGTATGTATGAGGTGAAATTCGGGAATTATTTTGTTTTCTTTTGATCTCCCTCTTTATTTAAGGGCTTTTTGAGGGTGGGGGTGGGGGTGGTCAGACACTTTTGTTAGAACCATGTGAATGGCATTGTTTTTTCTGTATTGCAAATTAGTATTTCTACCACTCTCCCCAGGCCTACACGCCCAGACACACACATACCCAACCAAAAAAATCTCCCAAGCTCCTCTCTTAGGTATGTTTCCTTATTATTCAGTTTTTCTGGGAACAACTGATTGCATAAGAATATAGAACCACCTGGAAGGTGTTAAATAGAATCTCTAAGAAGTTAGGAATAATTTGGATTTGGTTAGAATGAAAGTAAATTTAAAAAGTCAAGAATGCCAGTGAGCGTTTGTCATATAAAACTGTAGATACTATTGGTACTGATCCTGGGTTGATTTAATAATCTTAGAAATGATTTAGAGACAAAGACATATTTGAAAATAATGAGAGTAAAATGTATTAATATAAAGATTTTGGTTCTACTGTTTCAGGGTTGGTCTAAGGATTTTGAGTACTAGTTGAAAAGATGTTCAAAAGGAAGATGTACTCTTTACTGTGTTTAGGTAAACTAAGAAAATGTGTCTGCATAAACAAAAAAAGAAAATGGTTAATTGTGGAATGGTTAATTGTTAAATTCCCACTACTTCCCATAGGAATACAATGAAACTCTCATTGTATCACACTTTACTATTCCTCTCTCACTTTCCCCCCTGGGTTCCCAAGTATTGTTTTCCCTATTGCAACACTTAAAATAGCTATGTTCCTGAGGAAGACAAGAGAATTTTAGGAAAGACTTCAATAGAACTTTTCTAGTGCCACTTCCTTCCAGGTAAGTAAAAATTTACTAACGAAAATATAATATTTATAAAAAGAAAAAGCAATTTGTCCCTGAAACTATAATTTTGTAGATCAAAAACTGGCAGACTTAAACATGATGCCCCAATTTGAGGGATACCTTGCGGGGAAGGTAATTAAGCCATTTGTAATATAACTACATAAATTGAATTCTGCTTAGAACCTAGTTGGCTTTACTGGAAACACCTTCTTGCAGCTTATTTCTGTGACTTCAGTAGTGTTTTTGTCTTAACCAGGATCGTAGCGGTTTGTTACATAAAATTAATGGTTATTAAATAGTCCATCTCCATGCTCTTAATAATTTAAAAGTAAAACAGGAATTCAAGCTGCTTGTGAGAATTTAAAAATAATACAATTATTTGATTTCTTTGGTGAGTGAGGAAGAAAGAGTGGTGTGTGTTCAAGTGTTAGTGTGCAGTTGAGTTGAGTTGCATTAATAATTAGTGGCGACCAGGCACAATGGCTCATTCCTGTAATCCCAGCACTTTGGGAGGCCAGGGCGGGCGTATCACCTGAGGTCGGTAGTTCGAGACCAACCTGACCAACATGGAGAAACCCTGTCTCTACTAAATATAAAGAATTAGCCGGGTGTGGTGGCGCATGGCTGTAATCCAGCTACTCGGGAGGCTGAGGCAGGAGAATTGCTTGAACCTGGGAGGCAGAAGTTGCAGTGAGCTGAGGTCACACCATTGCACTCTAGCCTGAGCAACAAAGAGTGAAACTCCGTCTCAAAAAATAAAAATAATAAAGTGAGTGGCTGCTGATCGTGTGTTTTCAGAAGTTCTATGGAGGACTGTTTTTGTGTCAGTGACTATGTCAGCAACATATTATTGGCAGAGCTTAACATTTACTTAAGATATTAAATAATGAGAAATTTCTGTGACTAGTAATTAGCTTAAGCATGGTCTTCTTCCAACTCAGCATTTATATATTTTTTCAGCTCCTTGGTAGTTTGATGAGCTTTCTTGATTTTAGCTCATATTTGATATGCTACTTAAGAACATAAAGGTTCATTGCTTAGAGTTCTTTTGGTTCGTTGAGCATTCTAAATCAAAGCAAATTAGTGACCAGTTAATATAAATGGGTTGTTTTCTAGAGAATTCCAATATTTGCCACAAGCATACAGATTGACATCATTGCATTCAGTGAGGTAAATTATGATGAAAGCCAACGGGATTGATTTTATTAATAGAAACTTTGATAAACAGAATTAAGGGAAGGGAAAATTCTTCATTGAATTTTTTTGACAGTATTCTGTTGATGAATTGCTTTGTTGAAATGACTTTTGAGTATCTGTCTTACATGAAAACAGTTGTTAAAATTATAGTGTTTTAAGAAAAAAGTAGTGCAACATGTGTTCAAGGTTGAAAAGGGAAAATTAATAGGATTTGAGTAGACAGCTTGACCCAAGTACATTTTATTTGGTCTGAATTACTTGTTCACCATGGAAATTGTTGATATTTGTGAAGTGTGTATCTTTTTTTTTTTTTTTTTTTTTTTTGAGGCGGAGTCTTCACTCTGTCACCCAGGCTGGAGTGCAGTGGCTCGATCTCGGCTCACTGCAAGCTCCGCCTCCCGGGTTAGCGCCATTCTCCTGCCTCAGCCTCCCGAGTAGCTGGGACTACAGGCACCCGCCACTGCGCCCGGCTAATTTTTTGTATTTTAGTGGAGAGGGGGTTTCACCGTGTTAGCCAGGATGGTCTCGATCTCCTGACCTCGTGATCCGCCCGCCTCGGCCTCCCAAAGTGCAGGGATTACAGGCGTGAGCCACCGCGCCCGGCCTGAAGTGTGTATCTTTAAGCATGTTCTTTATATGAACAATGTTGAGAGCCCCCATTAAAGGGAAATACCATATCGATTGGTGTTGATATAAGTTATCACAGTTAGTGAAACTCATTTGACTAAAACTCATAGTATTATAAACCGAAATAGATTTGTTAATAAAGATGTTAATCAGCTGGGTGTGGTTGCTAGTGCCTGTAATCCCAGCACTTTGGGAGGCCAAGGTGGGCTGATCATCAGAAGTCAGGAGTTCAAGACCAGCCTGGCCAAAAATGGTGAAACCTATTTCTACTAAAAATACAAAAATTAGCTGGGCGTGGTGCTGTGTGCCTGTAATCCCAGCTACTTGGGAGGCTGAGGCACGAGAATTTGCTTGAACCGGGGAGGCAGAGGTTGCAGTGAGCCAAGATTGCGCCACTGCACTCCAGCCTGGGCAACAAAGAGACACTGCATCTCCAAACAAACATTAAAAACCAACAAAATTCAAACAGCACCAATTGTTATAAAAATGATCTTTAACATATTTTTTTGGTATTGAAATTAGTGTTCATAATAGGAATTTGTTGAGTCTTTGCATTTGGTCTGTGTATATACTATTGTCTTAGTGATCAAAACTTAGTGTCAAGTTTTCTCTTCAAATTAATTGGAAAGCTTACTGGGTGCAGTGGCTCATGCCTGTAATCCCAGCATTTTTGGAGCATAGGATGCGGGGGATCACTTGAGGCCAGGAGCTCGCACAGAAGAGACCCTTGTCTCTACAAAAAAGTAAAAAATAAATAAACTGGATGTGGTTTTGTGTGCCTGTAGTCTTAGCTACTTGGGAGGCTGAGGTGGGAGGATTGCTTGAGCCCATGATTTCCAGGTTACAGTGAGCTATGATTGTGCCACTGCACTTCAGCCTGGGCAGCAGAGCAAGACCCTTTTTCCAAAGAAAGAAACAAAAAGAAAACTTGATTAATTCAGATACTAATTACCCTTCACTTGGCTACATGCTTTTGTTTATACATTAAATTTGCTTCTTCTGTCAAAATAATGGGAAACAATTATTAACTGGCATCAATGTGGTGATGACTCTTGACGTCACTTGGTGTAGTGCACACTTGCAAGCCTCTTATCCCAACCATTCAGTGTAGGTTTACTATTGGAGTTGGATTGGTAAGCATTTTGAAAACCTGCCACAGGAACAATTTCCATTTTCTTCATTAAGATAATAGTGGGAGAGTATTGAGTTCAGAATCAGATGTGGCTCTAACATTAGATCTTTTGCTTATTGATTATTTAGATTTTGGACAGATTTCTTAATCTGGTTGAATTTATTCATTTGTGAGGTGAGGATGACCACAAAAATCATAATGAGAAAAGCACTGTTGGGCCGGGCACGGTGGCTCACACCTGTAATCCCAGCACTTTGGGAGGCTGAGGCAGGTGGATCACCTGAGGTGGGGAGTTCAAGACCAGCCTGACCAACATGGAGAAACCCCGTCTCTACTAAAAATACAAATTTAGCTGGGTGTGGTGGCTCATGTCTGTAATTCCTGCTACTCAGGAGGCTGAGGCAGGCGGAGGTTGTGGTGAGCTAAAATCGCGCCATTGCACTCCAGCCTGGGCAACAAGAGCGAAACTCTGTCTCCCCCGCAAAAAAACAAAGAAAAGCACTGTTAAGGTTAAATTGTCTACTGTGTAAAAATCTTTGGTCATGTCACAGGTGTTTAATAAATGTCAGCTAATTATGTTGTTCAAATCCAATAAATGAAGGAGATTCTTGTTGTAGATTTGTTAGAAGGCAAAAATGAATTTCTAGGTAGTGGGCCAAAGAATGAAGTAGTTAAATGTGGTCATTGAGTCAGTAACTTCATGTATGTAGAAGGTAGCTATATGGAGATTGTAGTGAAAGAAAAGAGGTGAGGAATTGAAACGTCAGCTTTGAATTATCTGTGTGGCCAATTTACTTTGTATTATGGCAGTATTTTGGTTCTAATTTGTCTTCCTGAGAATTGGGCCAGTTCCCCGTCATCACTGCATTTATAGAAGACTAGTTCTTACATTCATAGGTATGGGGAGAGCATGAATAACAAGACAGTAAAAATGATAAAGTCAATTATAGGGCCAGGATTCGTGGCTCAGGTCTGTAATCCTAGCACTTTGGGAGGCTAAGGTGGCAAGATCACTTGAAGCCAAGGGATTGAGACCAGCCTGGGCAGCATAGTGAGACCTTGTCTCTACAAAAATAAAAATAAAAAGGTCAGTTATTGTCAGGCTACAGTTATTTGCGAGGATAGAGGGAAATAATGTTAAGAAAATCCAAAGGTCATATTTGCCTTCAGTTGTTCTGAACTTAAATTTGAACATGAGAATTCCTGTGTAGGTGGGGTTGAGGTAATAAGCACATGAAACTTACAGAAGGTAGTCACTTTCTCATTCTTTTATATAGGTGTTAAGGTCTTGCGTCAATATATGTTTTCTCTTTTAAAAGGTAAATATTTGGGGTCGTCTTCATATAGTTAACCAAGTCACAAAGCAAACATTGGATAATGTTTGACTCTAAGAGCTTAACTACTTGGCAAGGTTTTCCTAGGAGAATTTGTGGATAAAATCTATGAATAGATGAGCCAATTTTTAAATAATATAAAATGGTGATACATGATGCAAATTAATTCTTGCCTTTTAGTGCCACTTCACTTCTTCCGTTACTTACAGGTTATAGTTACCATTAAGAACACTTCTTTTTCTTAAATGAGCAGGTTTATGTTGATTATTCAGAGTTGTTACACAGGACATAGGTTGGTTTTATCATGTCTATCTTAAGTTTTTCTTTTTCTTACTCTTACGTGTCAACCTAAAATTATTTTTTCCCCCTGCTATCTAATTCCAGGTTAAGTAACCTGAAATTCTTGCAAAAGGGCACCTTTAATTTGAATTGTAATTGGAATCCTGTGCTAGTGACAGTGTATAGCTTTTCTGTATTTTTTTCTAGTAGTTATTTGAATATGAAACATTTCACAGTAAATCCCAGACGAGCTATTGTTTTTCATTTTATAGGTGACAGATTAAGTAACTTATATAAGATGATACAACTGGTAAGATTGAAACTAGTATTCAAATTCTGATAAATCTGGTACAAAAGTACATATTCTTGTGTAATATTTAAATGTGAATTCTTTTTGTGGTTTTCGAGTCAGGGTCTTGCTCTGTCCCCCAGGCGTGAGTGCAGTGGTGCGATCATGGCTCATTGCAGCCGCAACCTCCTATGCTCAAGCGATCTTCCTGCCTCATTTTAAAATGTTTTCGTGGAGATGATGTCTCATTATGTTGCCCAGCCTGGTCTTGAACTCCTGTGCTCAAGTGATCCATCCCACCTTGGCCTCTGAAAGTGCTGGGATTATAGGTTTGAGCCACCATGCCTGGCCTAAATATGAATTATTACTGTTTTTTTTTAAATGGAGCCTCACACTGTCACCCGGACTGGAGTGCAATGGCGTGATCTCATCTCACTGTAACCTCTGCCTCCCGGGTTCAAGTGATTCTCCTGCCTTGGCCTCCCGAGTAGCTGGGATTACAGGGGCCCACCACCACACCTGTTAATTTTTTGTATTTTTAGTAAAGACAAGGTTTCACCATGTTGGCCAGGCTGGCCTTGAACTCCTGACCTCGTGATCCACCCACCTCGGCTTCCCAAAAATGCTGGGATTATAGGCATGAGTCAGTGTGCCTGGCCTAATACGAATTCTTAGCACAATAACGGTATATCCCTCCCCTTCCCTCTCAGTCTCTATCGTCTTTCTTCAAGGACTTTTGTTATCTCTTACTCTGTCACCTACTCTTTTGTGAGTGATTTCTTAGCTTTCACTTTTCTTCTTTTTAGGATATTTCATCATTCTTTGCACTGAAGACCTCATTGAGGAACTAGCCAGAATATTTCTTACTCCTAGGTGTCTAGGAATCCAGTTTTGGGAAAGGTGAAATTTGTACTCAGGAACTATATTGAGGCTTAAAGACTGTATATCTACTTGCCTATCTAGTTGTTATCTCTTCTGCTTCCTTGTTTTTGTTTTGAGACAGGGTCCTACTCTATGGCCCAGACTGGAGTACAGTGGTGCCATCACAGCTCACTGCAGCCTCAACCTCCTGAGCTCAAGGGATCCTCCTATGTTAGCCCCCCAAGTAGCTGAGACTACAGGTGCTCATCACTATGTCTGACTAATTTAAAAAAATTTTTTTGTAGAGATGTAGTTTCACTCATTGTATTGCCCAGGTTGGTCTTGGACTCCTGGACTCAAGCAGTCCTCCCACCCTGGTCTTCCAAAGTGCTGGGATTACAGGCATGAGCCACCATACCCAGCCTACTTCCTGGATCTGATACATTCATATTTATAAAAATTTTTATTTCTTCTAATGTCTTCAGCCTCCCACATTGGATCATTTTCCGTCTGCCTAAAGTACATTCTTTAGAATTAGTAAGGATCTTTTCTTGAATTATTTTATTTTTATTTGTCAAAGTTGCATTTTTGCCCTCTGCCATATCTGGCATTTTCAAGTCCCGATCTCTTTGAGGCTCTACTTGGTAGATTAGGTCCTCCTCGGCTGTTAGGTTCTTTTGTGTACACTCTAAATTGAAACTTTATTTACTTCTCTAGAAATGTGTGTTGAAATCATTTTCTTGCTGATGACTCTACTCCTATTTTATATAGTTGTGTTTGATTTCCTCCCTTATAGTAATTTTAATGTAAGAATCTAGAAGAAGATAATAAACTTATGTGCTTGGTCAACCACATTGAACTAGAAGTCTCTGTTAGCCATGTTTAAACTTAGTTGTGGTATAGTGGTAGAACTGCCTTCTGCTTTAACACCTGGATTCCTCTCAGATGAGATTACCTTTTACATTTTGTAGCACTGATCATTCCTCAGATTCCTGGGCTTTACTTAACTTAGATTTCGAGTTATATGCTAAGATTTTCTCTGACATTTTATTAATAGCAAGAATCTTTTTTTTTATCCTTTATCCATGCCATTATCATCTGCTTACCAAAAATAATTGGAAATCTTACATTGTTAGTACACTCCTAATATTATTTACTCTTCTTTGTTTGAGATCTTTTTTTTTTTTCTCTTTGAGATGGAGTCTTGCTTTGTCGCCCAGGCTGGAGTGCAGTGGCGTGATCTCGGCTTACTGCAACCTCTGCCTCCCGGGTTCAAGAGATTCTCCTGCCTCAGCCTCCCGAGTAGCTGGGATTATAGGCGCGTGCCAACATGCCCGGCTAAGTTTTTTTGTATTTTTAGTAGAGACTGGGTTTCGCCATGCTGGCCAGGCTGGTCTTGAACTCCTGACCTCGTGGTCTCCCTGCCTTGGCCTTCCAAAGTGCAGGGATTACAGGCTTAAGCCACCACGCCTGGCCTGTTTGAGATCTTTGTTTTTGTTCTGTTACCTTTATTGTGTCATATCAGAAAAGCTATACTTTGGTGATAATACTTTGTGTGTTTTTGTGCGCCAGAAGGAAAAAAACCCATCATATTGGGCTTTTTTTAGACTGTCAGGAAGTTCGAATGTTTACCCTAGTTAAGTCAACATGTTTAATTTTTGGAAAGATGAACCTTTTCTCAGATTATTGTAAGCCCTTGTTCTTTTTATCCTTGAGCATTTCAATAGGTGAAGCACCATACCGGCTTTATCTTTTGGAGAGCTTGAACCCTCCCATGAACTGAAGAGTCCCTCCAGGTTTCCCTAGGAGTCCATATTTAGTTTTGTGTTTTAAGATGATCCTTGAGGAAGCTTGATTTAGTTTTTGAGGAGGGAATCATTACAAATATCTACCCAACTCACTAATTCACATGATCTTATTTAATGTGCAGAACTCATTTTTATTCTAAACTTTGCAGCTATGAAACTGATGTTTTCAAAGTTTTTGTAAGGATAGAAAGACTTCATTGCAATGTCTGTTTGATTATACATACACATTGATTAAATTATAGAAATAATATTTATTTTTAGCAGCTGTAGTAGTCTTGAGAAAAGTCTGCCCTTAGCAATTATTCGTAGTACTTATTTTCAGAAATCAGGATTGAGTTGGTTGTTCTGCATTCATATAATGCATTGAATGTAGATAAATGGTCAATAAATACATGAATTGATATTGTGAAATAGAATTCTTAGTCATAACTGAAGTATTTAGAAATAAAAGGAATGTAATTTCTTATTGGTAATAATTTTGTAAGTGGAGTAAAATGAAAAAATTGAAATTTTAATTCTCTTTTCAAACGGATAAGGGAAAATAGAAGTGCATTTTATATTCTATATCTTGAGTCATTAGGTTGAAATTTGCAATTTTTTATAGTTAATGCAAGACATGTTAGAATATAATTTTTCTTGGTTTTAACATTCTGAGCCACTGTCTAGCAAAATTTATCTGTGTTACTTGACATTGCCCAATTCTTTCTATATTCTGTGGGGTAATGTTTTAGCTTCACTTCTTAAGTTGGGATATAGTTTATACTTACTTAGTTTAGTTATTTTACCCAGGAGGTAGCTGTTAGTTTAAAAAAAAAAAAAGTTTGGAATATACTGTTCTTTTGGTGGTTTTATTCTATACTAAAATTTGAAATTGTGAGTGACTGTTGTTCGTGCTTTATTTATGCAGAATATCCTCCGAATCCTAAATCTAGAGCCCCAAGGATGCTGGTCATTAAGAAAGGTAATACAAAAGACTTACAGCTATCTGGATTCCCAGTAGTAGGAAATCTTCCGTCGCAGCCAGTTAAGAATGGAACTGGTCCAAGTGTTTATAAAGGTTTAGTCCCTAAACCTGCTGCTCCACCTACAAAAGTAAGTTCTAAATTACCACAAATGTAAATTTTGAGTTGATAACCAATTTATATACTATGGGGGAAAATGTTAAAGAATTTAAAATGTGTATGAAGGTACTTCGTGGGGTGCTGAGTTCTAGGTGGCAAGAATTGACCCATATGTGCTCTTAATTATCTTTGATGTGGTGTGTGCGTTTGTGTGGTTTTATTGTTTTAGCAGTAGTAAGTGAAACCTACAAATTTTTTTTTTTTTTTTTTTTATGCTAGATGTATTTGTGATATATTTGCTTAATGATAATATATAATGCTGTTTTACCTGGTGCTCAGTTTTGGGTTTTGGAAACTTACGTGTTTTCTTATTCTCAAGTGAAAGAAACCCAACTTTATGTAACTTTGGAAAAATAGCACATTAGTTAGATACCTAAATGCTCAGTTTTGATTTTATTTGTAGAAAAAGGAACAGAGAACTGTGTAGGAATAATGAAGTGTGATACAAAAATACTTGTTTTTATGAGCCTAGTGTAGTCTTTTTTGTTTTATAATATTCATGGTTTTTGTCTTTCTCCTATAACCGGTTTTTGATAGCCATTAATGTTTGTGTGTTTTTCTTTAGCCTACACAATGGAAAAGCCAAACAAAAGAAAATAAAGTTGGAACTTCTTTCCCTCATGAGTCCACATATGGTGTTGGCAACTTTAATGCTTTTAAATCAACTGCCAAGAATTTTAGTCCATCAACAAATTCAGTGAAAGAGGTATGACATTAAAAATTACTCTTGAGGAATGTAACATTTTAATTTTGATAATTTAACAGTGAATAAAAGGTAGACATTCATTAAATGAATACATTAAAATGAGTTTCATTCCTTCAGAAAACTGGATTCATATACTTCATTTGTTAACCAGTTTTGCACTTTGGGAAAGTAGGAATCATTTAAAATATTTTAAATGAAAATTCCCAGCTGGGCGTGGTAGCTCATGCCTATAATCCCAGTACTTTGGGAAGTGGGACAGGAGGATCACTTGAGCCCAGGAATTTCAGACCAGCCTGGGCAATATGGTGAAACCCTGTCTCTACTTAAAAAAAAAAAAAAAAAAAAATAGCTGGGCATGGTGGTATGTGCCTGTGATCCCAGATCTTGGGAGGCTAAGGTGGGAGGAACACTCGGTCCTGGGAATGTCAAGGCTGCAGCAAGCTGTGATTGTGCCACTGCACTCAAGCCTGGGCAACAGAGTGAGACCCTGTCTCAAAAGTGGTGGTGGCAGGTTGGAGATGGGGGGGGCGTGGAATTCCAAACATCCTAAAAAACAAAAAATAATTTTTTTGGGGGTGGTGGGAGGGACAGGGTCTCTGTTGCTCAGGCTGGAGTACAGTGGCTCATTTGTGGCTCACTGCAGCCTTGACCTCCTGGGCTCAAGCAATCCTCCCATCTTAGTCTCCTGATTGTCTAGGACTACAGCTACAGGTGCTTGCCACTGGGCCAGCTACTTTTTTATTTTTTGTAGAGATGAGGATCTCGTTATGTTGTCCAGGCTGGTCTCAAACTCCTGGCATCAAGTGATCCTCTCTCCTCAGCTTCCCACAGTTCCTGGGATTACAGGCATGAGCCACCACACCTGGACCAATAGTAATTTTTAAGAAAATAATTATGAAAATTGCAGTGTTATTTGATACTTGTGATAGTTATGTTGTAGTATTGAACTTAACTAATAATGAGGATTTGTATTGTATAATGTTTTCTTTTGGGGATGGTGGACATTTTCTTACTGTTAATACTGAGTGGGGCGAAAGGAGGAACAAGAGAGAAAAGTATGTATTGTTACTGTACTGACTGTGAGTATCTGATAGTTCAGGTATTTCTTTTTTTTTTGAGACGGAGTCTCGCTCTGTCGCCCGGGCTGGATTGCAGTGGCCGGATGTCGGCTCACTACAAGCTCCGCTTCCCGGGTTCATGCCATTCTCCTGCCTCAGCCTCCCGAGTAGCTGGGACTACAGGCGCCCGCCACCTCGCCCAGCTAGTTTTTTGTATTTTTTAGTAGAGACGGGGTTTCACCGTGTTAGCCAGGATGGTAGTTCAGGTATTTCTTTCTCATTTGATCGAGGTTTTGAAACTGCCAGAACAGGGAGTTCTCTGACCAGTCCAGTGTCAAAGGACACCCGTAACACTTATATTATTATACCTGAAACTGCTTTGTGTACTGTATTGGAACCCCTCATATACTATTATTTATGATCTCAGACACAGAATTTTTGAACTTTGAGGGAAGGACTAGCATTCCTAGCTGGTTAATTCTGCTAAGATTAGCTATACAAACATTAATGCCAAGAAGTAAGCATTATTATGGTTTGTTTCCATGACTGATAATCCATATGACACAGAGTTTTAACATTCTGTTTTATGTTCCACTGTCAAAACACCAAAGAACCAAAAACAAAAGGATTCTTTCTCCTCTCCTCCCTGCTGTCTCTCAAACATTTTCCCAGGTGAAATTCACTCTGATAAACTTTACGTATGTGTATAAATAATTATAAAATAGATCTTACTGGAGCTGTTACTGAACTGTAGAGCTCTGTGTAACACGGTTTGAAAAGCTGCTCTTCTGTGTATTATAGAAAAGTTTAAACAATCCTAGGATGCATTTATAAAATAATATTTAGACGCCTAATTTAGAATCGTAGTTCTGAGTATTATTAGACCTTCATTGTTTGTGGGACAAGAAAAATCTTTTGTTGACTCATTGAGTAGGGGAAAATACAGGGATAGAGAGAACTAGACTTTAACATAGACATTATAATCAATTTTGTTTTCTGTGAATAAAGGTAAAATAGGAAGCTGTGGTAGTAATGAATTTTATGTTGACATTGATTCCTTGGCTACATATTTATCAGTATTTCTGAATTTCCTCTTAGTGTAATCGCTCAAATTCCTCTTCTCCTGTTGACAAACTTAATCAGCAGCCTCGTCTAACCAAACTGACACGAATGCGCACTGATAAGAAGAGTGAATTTTTGAAAGCATTGAAAAGAGACAGAGTAGAAGAGGAACATGAAGATGAAAGCCGTGCTGGCTCAGAGAAGGTAATTGAATAGCAATACTTAATTTGACATTGGTGTGTCATTGAAATATTTGAGCATGTATTAGGACCTTGGAATACATTTGAATCATCTCCTTGGAAAGTAACTTGGAAAGCCATGTGCATAAATAATAACTTCTTCGCTCTCCCCTCCCCTTCGTCCTCCTCTTCCCCCTCCTCTTCTCTCCTTCTCTTCCCCCTCCTCTTCTCTCCTCCTCTTCCCCCTCCTCTTCTCTCCTTGTCTTCCCCCTCCTCTTCTCTCCTTCTCACCCCCTCCTCTTCTTCCCCCTCCTCTTCTCTCCTTCTCTTCCCCCTCCTCTTCTCTCCTTCCCCCCATCCCTCCTCCCTCCTCCCTTTGTTTGAGATGAAGTCTCTTTCTGTCACCCAAGCTGGAGTGCCATGGCATCATCTTGGGCTGCTGCAACCTCCACTTCCCAGGTTCAAGCGATTCTTGTTCCTCAGCCTTCCTAGTAGCTGGACTATAGGTGTGTGCCACCACACCTGGCTAATTTTTGTGTTTTTGTACGTCTGGCTAATTTTTTCATTTTTTGTAGAGACGGGATTTCACCATGTTGGCCAGACTGGTCTTGAACTCCTGACTTCAGGTGATCTGCCTGCCTTGGCCTCCCAAAGTGTTGGGATTACAGGCGTGAGCTACTGTGCCCAGCCATGACTTCATTTCTAAAGTAGACTTACTTCATTCTGTAGTTCCTGTGGAAAAATACATTTAAAAAGCGTTCCTGTTTATATCTGCTTTCTTGTGCTTCTCCCATCTTGCCTGACTTCATGCTTTTAGTTTTACCTTTGTTGTATAGATAGGAATACTTAGGGTAAGAAAGCTTTGGATATCCATCCTGGCTTAATTTTTCATTCCTAATTTAATAAGTATTACATTTATGGTTGTTGGTTTTTTTTGAGATAGAGTTTTGCTCTTGTCTGGAGTACAATGGCATGATTTCGGCTCACTGCAACCTTCGCCTCCTAGGTTCAAGCGATCCTCCTGCCACAGCCTCCCAAGCAGCTGGGACTACAGGCGTGTATCACCACACCCAGCTAATTTTTTTGTATTTTTAGTAGAGACAGGGTTTCACCATTTTGGCCAGGTGGGTCTGGAACTCCTGACCTTAGATGATCTGCCTGCCTTGGCCTTCCAAAGTGCTGGGATTACAGGGGTGAGCCACTGCGCCTGGCCACATTGATGTATTTTCAGTGGAAGCTTAGTTAGGATCTATTAAAAGTTTTTAATAACTGTATTCTTTAGAACTCAATCTTTTTTTTTTTTTTTTAACTCTCTGAAAATCAGGATGACGACTCATTTAATTTACATAACAGCAATAGTACTCACCAAGAAAGGGATATAAACCGAAACTTCGATGAAAATGAAATTCCTCAAGAGAATGGCAATGCCTCGGTGATTTCCCAGCAGATCATTCGGTCTTCAACCTTCCCACAAACTGATGTTCTTTCAAGTTCACTTGAGGCAGAACACAGGCTAGTATTTGTTTTTACTTTTTCCTCAGCATTTTCTGTATTCAAGATTTCAATACTATAGAGTTTTTGTGTGATTTAACAGGTTTGAGATACAACTAATGCCATAAATTTCACCCATTATGATATACAGATGATTTTTAATATATTCAAAGTAGCCCTTTGTTCATTTGCATTTACTTTTCATTTGCACTCTGTCCTAGGCAGCTACTATTCTTTCTATAGATTTGCCTTGTGTAGGTATTTTGTATAAGTGGAATAATACAGTATGTGATTTTTGATGTCTAACTTCTTTCACTAAGTATAATATTTTCAAGGTTTATTTGCATTGTAAACACATGTCAGTACTTTGTTCCTTTTTTAGTGCTGAATGGTACACTATATGACTATACTGCTTTTTTGTTCATCAGTTGATGAATATTAGTTGTTTGTACCTCTTTTTTTTTTTTTTTTTAAACAGTAGACTCTAGTCCAGTCTACTTTTTGACTGTTTTGGATAATGCTGCTGTGAACATTCATATATAAGTTATTGTGTGGATATGTTTTTATTTCTGTTGGGTAGATACCTAGGAGTTGAATTGCTGGGACATATGATAGCTCTGTGTGTCACATTTTTAGAAACTGTCAAACTATTTTCCAAAATGACTGTCATTTTACTTCCTCATCAGCAATGTAGAAGGTTCTAGTTTCTCCATATTCTTACCAACACTTGGTGCCATCTATCTTTGATTACAGTCATTCTAGTGTGTTTGAAGTATGATTTCTTTTTGTGGTATGATTTCTTACCAACACTTGGTATCATCTCTCTTTGATTAAGTCATTCTAGTGGGTGTGAAGTATGATTTCCCTAATGACTAATAGTGTTTAGCGTCTTTTTATGTGCTTATTGGCCATTTATCCTCTTTGGAGAGAAATAACTGTATAAATACTTTGCTCTTTTAAAATTACATTTTCTTACTAGGTTGTAAGAGTTCTTTATATATTTGTGTATAAGTCTGTTGTATATGATTGGCAGATAATTTCTCCTGTGAGTTTTTTCGTTCTCTCAGTAGTACAGCCATCTCCCACCCACCTCTGCTCTTCCCCCACCCCCCACCACAGGCACCTTTTGAGATGAGGTCTTTCTGTGTTGCCCAGACTGGTCTCAAGTGATCCTACTGAGTAGCTGGGATTACAGGCTTGCAGCACCACGCACGGTGTCAGTGGTACCTATTGAAGGGCAGAGAGTTTTAATTTTGATGAAGTCTAGTTCATTTTTTTCCTCTCGTGGTTTATGCAGGTTTTCTGGATGATGTGAGGTAGGAGTCCAAATTCATCCTTTCCCACATGGATAGCGAATTGTCCCAATATGTGATTTATTTTTTGAGACAGTATCTCACACTGTCACCCAGGCTAGAGTGCAGTGGTGCGATACTAGCTCACTGTAACCTCTGTCTCCCAGGCTCAAGTGATCCCCCCACTTCAGCCTACCAAGTAGCTGGGACCACAGGTGTGTACCACCATACCCAGCTAATTTTTGTATTTTTTGTATTTTGAGATGAAGGTTTACTATGTTGCATACGCTAGTCTCAAACTCCTGAGCTGAAGTGATTCTCCTGCCTCGCCCTCCCAAAGTGCTAGGAGTACAGGCATGAGCCACAGTGCCTAGCCTGTAATTTAGTTTTTATTGTAAATTTTTTTTTTTTTTTTTGGACAGATCTCGCTTTGTCGCCCAGGCTGGAGTGCAGTGGTGCGATCTCAGCTCACTGCCACCTCACCTCCTGGGTTCCAGAGATTCTTGTGCTTCAGCCTCCTCAGTAGTTAAGAATACAGGCACATGCCACCACACCTGGCTAATTTTTGTCTTTTAGTGGAAATGGGGTTTCACCATGTTGGCCAGGGTGGTCTCGAATTCCTAACCTCAGGTGATCCACCTGCCTCAGCCTCCCAAAGTGTTAGGATTAACAGGTGTGAGCCACTGCTCTGAGCCTGTTGTAAACTTTTAACAGCACTTTTTGCTTCCATCAGTATAGTCTTAAGCATTTTAAAAAATAGTAACCTCTTAAGTGGTTTAGTCTTAGAATTAAAGAGTCTTTATATCTAGAATTTACTTTTGTTTTTTGTAGTTAAAAGCAGGTGTTTTTGCAGAAATGACACACCCTTACTGTATTCCTTAAATAACCACATGGTTCGGCATAACTAAAAGATTTAAAAACTATAAAAGCAAAGAAAGTTAATAGTTTATACCCTTAGATTATCATATTATTATTCTGTAATTGCTTTGTATAAACTGAATTTTTTTTGTTTTTAACTTAAAAATACCTTCTAAAACAAACTTAGGGCTAAGTTACATTTATTAACAGCCCAGTTGATTGACTTTACTTTTTCCCAGTTTCTTCTAGAACCTCATTTAATTCTAAGACAGTGGAAAACTGGGTTATATCTCCTCTTGAATAACTTTTGTAGAATTTATTTATAATTTCAACTTCTATTTCAATTAAGAACATAAGCTACATGAGGCCAAACGTTTTGTCCATTTTGTTCACTATTGTATCTAGCACCTAGAATGGTGCTTGGCACATTACTTTGCTTGAATTTGTCAAATGAGTGAGTGAAGTAAATATTGCAGTATTTTTCTGTTTTGTAAATCTGTACTTATTTTGAGGAATACTTTAATTTTTTTATTTCTAATTTTTTTCAGATGTTTAATAGTTTAGTGTATATTTCTCCTGCCAAAGGTTATACCCGCCCCCTTAAAAGAAGAAAAACGTAGAGATGAGCTCTCACTATGTCAGTGTGTTTCCCAGGCTTTTCTTAAACTCCTGGACTCAAGTGATACTCCTGCCTTGGCCTCCCAGAGTGCTGGGAGTAGAGGCGTGAGCCACCACACCTGGCTGGATTGTCTTTTGTTCTTTTCTTTCTTTTTTTGAGGCAGGGTCTTATTCCTTTGTCCAGCCTGGAGTGTAGTGGCACAGTGACGGTTCACTGATACCACTCCGGTGATGCTCCTGCCTCAGCCACGGGTGCATACCACCGTGCCTGGCTAACTTTTGTATTTTTTTGTAGAGATGGGGTTTTGCTGTGTTGTCCAGGCTGGTCTCAAACTCTTGGGCTCAAGCGATCCTCCTGTCTCGGCCTCCCGAAGTGCTGGGATTACAGCCACCATGCCCAGCCTTGCCCGATGCCCCCCGCTTTTTTTCTGTTAGATTGCTCCTTCAGAATAAACCTTTATCTTTCTGTCTTTAATCATACATTATTATTTTATCTTCGTGATTATTTTTGTTTCCCTTCTCCAAATCATGCCCTGTTTTGCTTCTTAAATGTGGCTGTAACTATTGTATGTGAATGTGTAGGCATTTAATTTTGTAGGCTGGGCGTGGTGGCTCATGCCTGCAATCCCAGCACTTTGGAAGGCCAAGGTGAGTGGGTCACTTGAGGTCAGGAATGGAAGACCAGCTTGGCCAACATGGTGAAACCCTGTCTGTACTGAAAATACAAATATTAGCCGGGCATGGTGGTGCCTGCCTGTAATCCCAGCTATTCGGATGGCTGAGGCGTGAGAATCACTTGAGGCCAGGAGGCAGAGGTTGCAGTGAGCCAAGATCGTGCCACTGCACTCCAGCCTGGGCGACAGAGCGAGACTGTCAAAAAAAAAACAAAAACAAAAAAAAAAAACAAAAAAAAAAAACCACACACAAAAAAACCCAGTGATTTTTGTATTTGTACCTAACTTTCTTCTAAAATAATTTATTGGGCTGATAATTGCATTTGAGAATTAATTTAGCTAGATTAATTTATAACTAATTTAGCCAGATAATATCTTTAAATTCACTTGTTTAGACAAAATATAATTTATTGTACATTTAATGTGAATGGATGAATAAGTCACCACACTCTTTTTATTGCCTCTCAAATTGTGGAATTTCACGCTATACGGTTTACAACTTGTGTCTGATAGGCTTGAGTGATGGCTGAAATGGCAAATATAGAAAATTAGCAAACATGAATTCTTTTTAAAAAAGATAAACATAAATAGATATTTCAGGATTTTTTCCCATCATTCTAATGAATCACCTTGTTTCTCCCCTGCTGCCATTTGAAGTCACTATTCTATAGTATGGATATAAATTGTGAAACTATTTTCCTGTGATCCAGATTTATGTGTGTTCACATCCCCTCTCTCTTTTGTCTCCCCTTCTCTTTCCCTTTCTCTATCCTTTCCTCTACTCCCTTCTTCCTCTCCTTTCCTCTTCCCCCCCTTATTCCAAATAATGCTGTTATCAGCATCCTTGTATTTATATTCTTAAATATTTGTATAAATGTATAGGTAACAGATTACCAGGAGTGAATTTGATTGGTCAGATGCCATACATATTTAAAATAATCAGCTACTGCCATGTTATCCCAAAACATTCTGGTAATTTACACTCTCACCAATAATGATTGAAATATTTCTAGTCACACAATTGGTAGAAAAGGAAAAGGCCTGTGTGTAGAAAGGAGAATAATGACACAAACATATCAGATATTCTAATGATTGTAAAAGATGAGTTACCTCTTAAGGAGATAGAGCATAGGCAGTAAAAGAATACAGATAAAAGATTTTTTAACTCACAGAATCTATTCATTAAGGCCATAGTGAGAAAGTTGTCACCTAATATCTTGTATTCCGATTTCCCTTCAGTACTTTAGTAGCAAAAAAAAAAAAAAAAAGTTGGCCCATACCTTTAGAAAGTATTTCTTATAACCCCTAATAGACATATTGAATGTTTTAACTATTTTATTTTTTAATCTGCAGAGCAGATATTTAGTGCAGGAAGCATTTTGGTGGCTTCTTGTTCATTTAGGAAGACTTACGAAAGAGAGACTTTCGTTTCATAACTTGACAGAATTTGGTTCTCTGTGACTACTAACAGGAGAAAATGGAGGATGAGATTTAGAAACTAAGGCAAATCAAGATGAAAACATTCGGCAGGGACAGGGACTCACGCCTGTAATCCCAGCACTTTGGGAGGCTGAGGCAG